AATTTATTATGTATATCAACAAACCCAAGAGGAATCACTAATAGAAGTTATAATTTTTAAGTTACAACTCAACAAAAATTAAGACTGGCTAAGTTAGGTCAGGTATGAGAACATTTTCTAGCATATAATCAGATCACAGAATAAACACAGGTCAAGGAAAATGAGACCACTACCAGAAAAGAAAACTACTAGTAATTTGCACTGGGCACAAACTCCCCATGGTGCAAGATATGACATCTTATGAAAAAACAAATTCAACCCCATCAATAATTTTATTTTAAGACTGAAAATAAAATACACATTGCACATTGAAACAGACGGTCACCAAATACAATGCCTTCTTAGAAATAGAGCTTTCAAGGTAACTGCCTTATATTTCTCAAGTACCCATCTGCAGAGTGCAGATGAAATACAAAAACAGAAATTTTAAAAAATTATACAAACAATTGGAGTAGGATTTCTTTAGTTTGTTGTTAATTGTCCTTATGTAGTCTCTGCCATTGTTATGTTCACTCCAGTGATGTTAGCCTCTCCCTAAAGCATTCAATTCACATACTTGCAAGTAAAAATGCTGTTTATAAAATTCCATTAGAAACAAATGCATAAACAGCATTGGAAACAAAGGGCCAGAGCCCAGTGGTCTCTCCCTCCCAGAAGAGTGCCCACCTCACCCCTCTACAGTCAGGCTCCCTCTTGCACACTTTACTCCTGGTCCCATGACCCTTGCATTCCTTTGGGTTCAGTGGCCCAGCTTTACCATGAGGGATAGAGGATGTCCGCAGCCTAGCATCCCCCTCCTGGCTGAGTGGGGCTTAGAACCTAGGTTACTCAGCAACTGCCCTAACCGCCAGGCTACTGGGCAAAAGGTGGGTGCTCTTCTATTTTACACTGGGCCTACACTTTGCCCTACATCACCATAGCGATGCACCACGTCACCATACAATGCACTATGGCGACAGCTATCACATGAGTCTACATGTGATTGGCAGCTAATGACTAGTGGCATGCTCCCCATTTTAACGCATTGCTAGGGTGAAGTAGCAGCAAAAACTAACCATGTGCCATGCACATGGCGCAGTATGGGCGGTTACTGTGCCAAGCTTTAGTACTTCCTTTAGTACTCCTAAAGGAAGTACTAAAGCACGGTGCTGAACAACATCGCCATAAGGGTGACGTGTAGATGCACTCATTGAAGTCAAAGCTGCCTCCTTTTGTGGGTGGCATAAAAAACTATTTTCTGCTCGCCCACTTACCTCCACCAGCCCTTTGCACATAATCAGATGCAGTTTAACATTTACCACTGCTGGAGGGGGCAAGTCCAGTCTGTCTTTATGCTTATCTACTGTCTCTGTCAGCCACCCAGCCAATCCTTTAGGCATGCTGTGTGGAGATCAGTTGGGAGTGTGGGGCTAGAGGAGGGGAGGAGGAGTACAGAAGCTCTCATCAACATGTGGCCAGGTGTGGTTGGACACCCCCTGATTCCTGAAACCTTCTGCTAGACTTTGATATCATGGGATTTGTCCAGTACCATTCCACTCAAGGGACTTCATTTCTACACATGAAATCACTGAAATCTTAAAGTTAACTACATCATATAGACATTAGGGTGCTCCCTATCCTTTATTGGTATATATATCAAATGGAAAGAATTATGAAACTAAGGTTATGCTTTCAGTAAAGGAAGGAGTCTCAAAGAATTTTACATTTTCTTCATGATTTTTTTCATCTCTCTTCTTGATATTTTTCTCTCACAGCATATAACCTGATTGAGCATTACAAGTAAGCTCCAGTACCCAGATGAAATTTCCTTTGCTCACCCTGATATATAATGCACAGTGCTCAGACAGCCAACCTAGCAGCACCCTCTCCAAGAGGCATGACAGTAGTGGCAGTATATGTAACCTACGAGGTACAACCAGCTGGTTCAAGCTGACAGATCCCATATAAAGGGATAGAAAATAGCATAATTCCTATTTTGACTGCACCAGGGCTAAGCAGCAGAACCTCTAGGGTTCTGTGTGAAAGACAGCATAAATGCTAGTCATTGAAGGAGATAGGTTACAATCATTTCTTTTATAGATTCTACTTAGAGGGCATCTATATTTAGGTTGGATGAGACTTTCTGAAAATCTTGCAGGATGTTTTTGTTTAATGAGACACAGCTATTTGCAACTTTTATTAAACACTCTAAATAAAGCATTCCATTAGCAGTATCTCATCAATAAGTGACATTTTATTTTTTTCCCCACTACCCAAACTGTGATAACAAGGCCCCTGACAGGACTACTTAGCAAGACCCCAGATGAATGGATCGAAAGCTAAGCTTTTCAAAGAAGTCCAAGGACCTGTATAATTGCTCTACAGGCATTAGGTGGCCGTCTCCATTAAGGCTCTTAGAAGAAACCTAGTTCAAATAAAGAAATAATTGAAGATAAAATATTAGCCTTACAACAAGACTCTTAATTTAAGAGATTAAGTGAGTGATGATCCTAGTACAAAGATGACAACAGGTGGCAACACAATGATTGAACCCCAAATACAGATTCCTGGTCTAGGTGCTGCCACAGGAAAGCTTCCTGGCTACCAAGTAACACAACACAAGGTGGACACCATTCTTTTCCTTTCTACTATGGCCGTGAACTTTTAAGGCAGAGAGATTTTTAAATTTGTTTGCCTAGTATATTTTGGGCACTTCTGTAAAACAACAATTTTTCTCATTTTAATACTATAATGTTTTCAACCCTCAGCCAAAACCATTTTTTCTTCTTATGTTATCATTCCCTTTGATATTATTTAATTTTATAGTTGTGTTATCCAATTCTGTAGAGGCAGCATGCACAAAAGACAATTTGCAAGACAAAAATATATTTTATGCATTGAATTAAGTGCCAGCCAGAGCACTCATGTAGAGCTATGCTGAAATCCAGCATAACATTTTCCCTTTGCTGTTGAACTTTCCCCACCAATAAATTATTGCTTTAATGTCTATCATTAAAAAATGCACCAACATGCTCTCTCAATGAATTTATAATCCAAGGTAAGCAGCAATTGCTATAATCACTTTATTATGCCAGCTGTGAATGAAAATTAAGTTCATTTCCTTTCCAGTGAGATAGGTGGGTAAGTTCTTTCCACAAGAAAAACATGCATATCTAAGCATGTTATGGAGGTTAGACACTGCTGTCCCCAACAATGATGTAGAGAGGCAATGCTGTATTGCAGTTAGTGAAATACTCTTCTCCTTCTTCCCCTGCCATATCAGAACAGACCACTGAATTACCAATGCCACTACCCCTTCGTATTTGAATTGGAAGTCTTCTGTTCCTTTGTCATAAGTTATCCACAAAAAAACTTTCCTTTTGTATCTGTATATCAACTTACATTTTAAAAACATCCACTCAAATTGCCAAAATATTTCAAAACACTTCATAAAACTAATAAATTCTCACTTGGCAAGTTCTCTCACAAGGGTGGGATATTTGATATTCACAAATTTGAACAACAAAGAAACATGCTGCCTTTTGGAGGTGAGTGAGGCTAGACTACCACTGCCATTTTGCTGCTCCTCAGCATTGCTTATGCACATAAACCACTTCAGAGCTAGTGAACAGAGAGCTGGCATACCCTAAAATATTGGGCGAAGGGTTCTGAATCACATTCATGGGCCAAGGAGCTAAAATTCTACCTAAAATGTACTTTAGTTGCCCACATGCTTTTCTGAATCTGTCCACACACACCCTGTCCACCCTGCCCCCTTGAATGGTCCAATATTTTCCTTGACAATTTATAAGAGCAGATCAAAAGCACTAGTCATCTTGACAGTAAAAGGCTATCTTCTGAAAAAGCAAAATATAGCATTAATGCAAAGGAGGGTTACAGAGCTGAGCTTTCAAGACATCTAAACTAGCTTCCTAAAAGCCTTTCAACAATACACGAGCATATTCCTTGCACATAGACACTCAGTCTCTAATTGAAATCATACAAGGCAACAAGAAAGCAACAAATAACTGACAGTCTTCAAATTTAATATTCCAAATAGCATTTTGACCACCGCTTTTTAAAAAACACTTTGTATATATCTACCTTATCTGACAGGTAAAGCACACACCAATTCTGATTTTGCCAAGATCGCAGGTTTATATGCCCTTTCCTGCTGCGATCTCATTTTAATCCCTTTCTAGCTGTCTGCCTACAAAATAGTACTTAGCATTTTCTGCCCACCAAAAACAATCACACAATGTATTGTGTAGCACTCGCCCCAAATTCCAGGCAGAAGGCAAGGAAAGATGCACCTTTAGAGGCTAACTAAACCAGAAATTCATAAGCTTTCATGAAACCGAGCTCACTTCATCAGATGCTGTGAAGTGATCATGGGCTCACAAAATCTTATGCACATCTAATTTAATTAGTCTATAAGGTGCATCTCTGCCTTATACTCTGGCTGATTTCAGAATAATGCAGCTAACTACCTCTCTGTCTGCTCAAATGCCAAGATATACTGATTTGAATTTACCATCTCTCCTGATCTAAAAGAGTATAAAGCTACTTTAATCCATTGGACACTTTGCATTGCCCTCTCCATCCATAGCTTGGAGAATGCTTTCCAAATCTCACTGGGCATCTGCAGATATGGCCTAGAGTTATCATATATATAAGGCTTACATCCCAGTCAGGAATCTCATGGGGTTAAACATATATATACATATACAAATTGATATTTCAGAAGAGTGGGACATCCAGTGCTAGCAGAATACATAATACAAACACCATGTACCACTATTTACCAACTGTAGCTAGATGTACTTGGCCAAAAACTTTTGATAGGTTTTTTAAACTATTTTTTCCATCAGAATATTGCAATTCAACCTCTAGGTTTAAGAAAAATCAGTCCAATTTTTCACACTACTATTTAATGTCAACAGTGGAAAATGATTTTTGTTTTAAATCAGTAGTGTTAGAAAGAAATGAGTGAATTCAAGCAAACATTTGAAAACCATTACCATATTGTCTCCAGTCCACATTAGAAGGCAAATTCATCCACAGAAAAAGGTTGTTCAATTGATTTAAGTATGATGGCAGTGAGTGGAACCCTTTCTGGTTGTACCACACCTGAGAAAGAAAACAGAGATATTAAAAACAAAAAGACAGCCTCAACAGGAACCCCAAGTTCAAAATATCCCTTGATTTGAAAGAATTTCAGAGCCAAGATGAAGTAAAAGGAGAGCAGCTAGATGCTACTCTAAGGAGCCACAAGCTTCTGCAGGTCATGAGAATCTGCTGTAGACCTCAAGGTGTATAAACATAGGTAGGAATTGCAGGAATGTTATTAGGGGGAAAGAAATTCCACTGGGAAGTCTGTCATTATGGGCAAATTTAACTACCCATATATATATATATAAGTTGGAGAGGGAACACTTCTAATATTAGCAGGGCCTTATTATTTCTGGATGTAATAGCTAGGAGAAGAGGCATGGAGAAATAGTGATCAGAGCAGCTACACTACCATTTGTCTGACCTGAGTGGAAGGCAAGATCAAGTTTTAGAACAAGTTTTAAAGAAAACATCAATTAAAGATATGGAGATAAAGGGAAAATGGATGTTTTCCCCAAAGGTAGATGACCACAGACTAACTTAATATTTCTTTGATAAGAAAACTGATTTTTTTTCTGGACAATGAATAAGCAGTAAATTTAATCCATCTTGATTTCATTGAAATGTTTGATATAGTGCCACATCAGAAATTATTAGTTGAGCTGTAGAAGATAGAAATTAATACAAGATCCATAAGGTGGGCAGGGAACCAGCTATTGTGGAGATAACCCTTGCTGCTGACAAGGAAACTGCTGCTTGGAGGAAGATTACTTAACAGAGTTCCCCAAGAATTGGTCATGGCACTGGAAGTAATTTTTTATTTTCATATATTTTTATTTTTGTATTTAATGTTGTCAGAGAAGGGCAGTGGGAGTGTGGGGCCAGCCTATTTTCATTGCGCGGTCTCCCTGTGGCTCACGTGCAGCTCCCAGGACTTGGCTGGGACCCATGCATGATGGAGCCAGCAGCCTGGCCCTGCTCCCTGCTGCCATGTATAGGTTCCAAGGTCTCCACCTATTGTAGGCCATGAGCACCCCCAGGGCCTGCCACCTACTGTTGCTGCTGCTGCCAGCAGTTGGGGCTGTGCACCATGGGGAGGGCATGTGAGGAGGGGCCTTGCACACACACCCCACCATACCTACACCCACACATACAACCTCTCCTATACCCACACCCTATGCCACAGCCCCCACACACAACCCACAAACCCCACACCCCCTCCATCACATACACCCCCATAAACCCCACACACTCATTTCCCACACACCCCCATCTCCAAACCACCCCCCCACAAATGCCAACTCCCCACATACACACATACCCCAACCACACACCCCACACTCCCCCATACCCTCTCACACACACAATATAGAGTACAACTATTCTGAGCTTTTACACAATTGCCTCTACATACACTTTGCAAATGCATGTAAATAAGGTCAAAATATTTCTTGAAATAAAATTAAAATATGTTATAATAGATGTTTAATTTTTCATATATTATTTGTTTTTTTCCATGTCCAAGATGGCAAACCTTCCCCTCCCAAAAGGAGTACTTCTGGGAGCAATGGGAGAGATTGCTGGTGGCAAATGTCAGGGGTTAGAGGAGGGACTTCCAGTCCCAAGATGGTGACCAAGGGGCAGTGCACCTGTCAAGGGGTGGGGCTACCCTTGTGGCCCTCAAGAGATCACCAAAACCTGTTAAGTGGCCCTCCAGCCAAAGTAACTCCCCATCACTGGACTAGAACAAGAGATCATCCAGGCCTCTGCTTCTTCAAGCATCTATCCCAGCCTAGCTTCATCATTCTTGGCCCATTCCAGTGTGAATCTTACATTACCATTTGTCCCAATGTGCAGAATTGTCAGTAAATTTTTACTTAGTCTTAAGATCACATTCAGCCTCTGGTATACACCTCATATCTGCTCTTAGTGAACAGCACAACTTCTCTGTCTGGATCTGCTCTAGTGGCAGCCTGTCAATTATTCTTTATTAAGAATCCCCAGTCACAAAGACCTGCCTCTT